ATCTGGCCTTCTAAAGGGCAGCCAGGGTTGATCTCCTCCAGGACTGACCGGTTGGATGGCCTTGCAGTCCAAGGGACTCAATGCAGGAGTCTTCTCCAGCACCATAGAGGAACTAGGTGAATGCAACATGGGGAGGATATTGGTGTCAGAGAGTTAATTAATCTTCTGGTTTCTGTAGCTGATTAAGTTCAGGGCAGGTTTTTCAAGTACATTCGCAAAGATACATTCTTGTAAATACTATTAACATTTACCTATTAACTATTAATATTTATCACTTCTTACAAATATAGAAAGCACAGTTGGAGTCACTTTCTTGCCATCGCATACCTCCATTTTATTTTGCAACAACCTTACTCCTTCCATCTTCTCAACCTCCCTTCTTTGCCTTCTTCTTTCCTCCTTTCCCTTCTCCTTTCTTCTTCCCCTCTTTCCCTCACTCGTCCTCTCTTCTCCTCCTTCTTCCCCTCTCTCCTACTCTTATTTCCCCTCCCTTACTTCCTCTGCTTTGCCTTTTCTTCTTCTCCCTCTTCATGCTCACTCTTTTCTTCTTCCCCTCTCTTTCCCCAACTCCTCCTCTCCTTCTCCTTTCCCTCTTTCCTACTCTTACTTCCCCTCCCTTACTTCCTCTGCTTTGACTTTTCTTCTTCTCCCTCTTCATCCTCACTCTTTTCTTCTTCCCCTCCTCCTCCCTTCTCCTCTTTCTTCCCCTCTTTCCTACTCTTACTTCCCCTTCCTTACTTCCTCTGCTTTGTCCTTTCTTCTTCCCCTCTCTTTCCCCAACTCCTCCTCTCTCCTCCTTCTCCTTCCCCTCTCTCCTACTCTTACTTCCCCTCCCTTACTTCCTCTGCTTTGTCCTTTCTTCCTTTCTCTCCTCATCCTCCCTCCTTTCTGTTGTGGGCAGAACATTCCCTGAATGGCTGCAGATGTTCATCTGGAACCACCTCTGCCCTCCTCCTCCTCCTCTTCCTCCCACAACCCGGTGGCCCAAATGGTGACATGGCCATGGAGGGGACGGGGGAGAAGACGTCACAGCCTCCGGGGAGCAAGTGTGTCTCTGTTTATTATGGGAATTGAACCCTTCTGGGCTGTTGTGTTGATAAAACAAGCTAGCTTAGGTGGCATCTCCAACTTGTGTTTAACTAAAGCTCTTCTCAGTAATTAATGGGGGGATAAATTGTGGCTTAATTACTCAGAAAGCACCTTGGGTGAAGGATTCATGGTAATTGTTGTGTATCCCCCTGAAGGATTCACTCCACTGGCAGCAAACTTTCCTAACGATAAAATGCCGGCTGAGTGGCAGCCAACACAGCTGCCTTCCCTTGGCCAAAAATCTCCCAGAGAGAGAGAGAGAGGCATTCCGCTACAGAGTTTGCTCTTTTCGGTAGTTTGGAGATATATTCCCCCACCCTCTCATGCTTTTCCATACAAATTGAATTTGTTCTGCTGTTAACAGAGTTCCTAAATTTGGGAATAGAATAGAATAGAATAGAATAGAATAGAATAACAGAATGGAATGGAATAATTCAAAATAGAAAGTAGAACAGAATAGAATAGAGAATGCAAAATGCAATATAGAATATAGAACAGAATAGNGTGTGGCTTCCAAAGATTTCCTCAATCTCCAATAGGCAATCAAGATTAGGTTAATACCCAATGGTTACTCCTCCCACACTTTCTCTTCGGAAACCTGGAGTCTTCGCAGGTTGAACAGTTTCCCATCGGTCCTGTTTCTCAGGCTAACCCCCAAGGAACTGTTCTGAAAGACATCTGACAGAATGGCTGAAAACATGCTGAACAAGGTTGGTGCCAACACGTACCCTTGCTTGATGCTGTTTGTAACAGGAAAGGTCTCTGAAGCTTCTCCATCATCCAGAACATGAGCCGTCATACCGGTGTGGAACTGAAGTACCATCAGGATGAATCTATTGACACCCAAATTTTGACATGATGTGCGACAGACCTTTGCGACTGAGTATCAAAAGCCTTGGTGACATCCACGAAGGTGGTGTACAATTCATGATTCTGCTCTTGACACTTCTCTTGGAGCTGTTGGGCTGCGAAGATCATGTCCACAGTGCCATGTTCTTTGCAGAAACCGCACTGTGTCTCGGGTAATAAACCCTGTTCCAGATGGTGGTCAGTCAAGCGGTTCAGCAACACTCATGCAAGGATCTTGCCTGTGATGGAAAGCAGACTTGTTGATTCTCTTTCCTCTTGTAGAGGTGTACGATGGATGCATCTTTCAGTTTCTGAGGAATGGATCCTTGTTTCCAGAAAGACTGGAACAGCTGAATGAGTTTGTTGACAAGCACTGCACCGCCATTCTTATAGACCTCCGGTGGGATCACATATGATCCTGGGGCCTTGCCACTGGACAGCTGACTGATGGCCTGTAGGGTTTCAGTCTTGGTGGGGCGTCCAGGCAGTGGTTGATATCTACCTGGGGCATTCTATTGATCACCTCCTTGATGGAAGATGGGTAGTTCAATATGGATTGGAAGTGCTTAACCCATCTCTGTAGAATCAGAAAACATTGACTGATAACCAGAGTGGGTGAGGGGGAGCCCAGATCCAGCTTTGTCTCTTCTGTGGCCACTTTGGCTTTAGTAAAGCATTCTTTTGGCTAATTGTGGGCCAGGGTCTTTCTTTTCTAAGTGACCAGGTTGGGACAGTTGACATTAAGCTGGATCTGAGATTTTTGCTAGATACAATTCACTTTCTCTTGGTGCCAACAAGCCCCCCTGGTTATCGGTATTTATGAAATTATTTTGAATTTTTAAATCTATCTTATCCAGAAGATAGATTGACCTATAAATCTAGCAGATTTAATCAGCAATCCCTCTCTCTTTTTGCCCAAACCATTTTTATTACAATTATTTATTCACTCATGACCACAATTGGGACCAGAATTTCACTTGCTAAGCAATGTGGTTGTTAAGCAAGTCATCACATGACCGGAGAACCATTTTTACTGTGGTTATTAAGTGATTCACCACAATTGTTAAGTGAATCACATGGTCGTTAAGCAAATGACTTTGCTTGCCCTCATTGACTTTGCTCATCAGAGGCATGCCTGAAACATTGTGACTGCAGGATTTTGCAATTGTTGTAAATGTGAGCTCGTTGCCAAGAGCCAAAATTGTAATCATGTGGCCACGGGGATGGTGTGATGATCATAACTTCAAGGATGTAAGTCTCTTTTTAACAAGTCGCCATACTATTGTTCAATAGTCATAAATTGAGGACTACCATATCACCATTTTCCTGCCTTAGTGGATTTCAATCAGTTCAAAGAAACTGAGAGCATGGAGGGTTCTTGTTCTGTATCTTATAATTTCAGCCATTGGCTGAAAGTCCAGGGAAGACAGGAAAAAACATCTCCAAAGATTCTGCATTCTAGGAAACTTCAATCCTGGAAAGCTCCCATGAAAGGGATCCCATGAAAGCCCAGTCATGGGATCCACAGGGTCACATGCGACCTTGTCCTTCCTCTGGAGTAGCTGAAGATGGCTGGATGATGGGTGAGCCTCCTGCTTTCCTTTGGCCAGACCCCTTCCAGAAACTCATCCATGCTGGCAGTTCTGCAGGCAGAGCAATCCCAAGTGGGGCATCTCTTCCTTGGAGCTAAGAACTGAAGGGTTTCAGACCTCAGCATTGGAGAAAAAAGGGTTGGAATACTTTTGAGAAGCTAGGTTGAGTCTGTGGGTGATATGCCAGTTGTTGGTTGAGGGAAATTTTGCTTTTGTTATCTGGCCCCCAGTTCAGCCAGAGTTGTCTCATGCTGGTGCCTCCAAGAAGCACCAGAGACAATCGGGCCGATATCCACCCCTTTAATGCTTCCTCCTTTGGTTCAAGCAAGGCCTGGTGGCACAAGCAGCTCAGTGGGTGGCCCTCCATGGCAGCATCTTGGCTGTGGCCTGGGTGAACAGCGATTGGTCAAAGGCCGGCTGAGCCGCTCTTCAGCTTGGGAAGAGCTCTGGAGCTCTGCTCGGAGGACAAAATCTCTTAGGGCCAGAAATGCTGTAAGGACCCAGCTAAAACAATTTTTTCTTGCAGGTGATCAAAGATCTGAAGGGCTCCGATTACAGCTGGTCTTACCAAACCCCCCCATCCTCCCCTAGCAGCTCAGGATCCCGAAAATCCAGCATGTGCAGGTATGTTGGACTCAGCTACTGGGAACCTTAAGTGCCACATAACAGGAATATAACTGTCAGGTTTCCTACAAATACCCTAATTGATTCATGAGTTTCGAACCCAGTTTCAATACAAAACTAGTCATTTATTAGGAGCCACGCTAGGTAAGGCTTTTTCAGTCAGATCTAAGCTTTGTTTGAGTTATAGCTGAACTTTAACCCTTTTCCTTCCCTCCCCTCAGTCTGTGTCATAAACCACATTCCCCCCAATGAGATGCACCTCTCCCAAGCCTGCTGCAGTCACCTGAGATCCAGCCTTAGCCGAAAGTGTGCGTGGAATGCGCTCCCCCCCCTTCTCTCTCTACGGCAGTGGTTCCCAAACTTGGCAACTTTAAGACTTGTGGACTTCAACTCCCAGCAGAGCTGGCTGGAGAATTCTGGGAGTTGAAGTCCACAAGTCTTAAAGTTGCCAAGTTTGGGAACCACTGCTCTATGGCAATGTTAGGAGTTGACAATAACTGCTATATAACAGAACAGGAATATAAGGAGCGCATAACTGCTCCTCGTGGGTGCAGGTCTTACGAAGCTTGAGTAGGTTCAATGATACCCCAGTTGTAAATGCGTTAGGGAAGGCCAGAGTGACATACCAAATACTTCCCAAACTGAGTTGCCATGGAATAAAATCCAAGAGAGCCAGACCTGAGCAGCTGTGGCCAGTGTTGGCATTCAAACGGACATAACGAATGACCTCGAGCCATGGCAGTTCTCCTTCAGGTCAAGCAAAGCATGGGGCCTTTTGTCTTTGATGGTGGACTTACATCTGTCAACTGGAAGTAGCTGGGAAAGGTTCTGCTCCAATCTTTAAGACATGTTGCTGTTGATCTCACCCCAAAATTCTTCATAGACATTGAAAGTGCTTCTCCCTTTAGCTGAGGAAAGAATTAAAATAGGTATTTGTGTAAGCTGCAGCTTATAGGTCCCTGATCATAAGATTCAGTCTACTTTATTGATCCCATCTGAAGAGGAAGAGCTGACTTCTTGAAGGCTTCTTGGTGATGGAGAAGGTGTTACTCTGCAGTCCTTGATTCAGCATAAAATAAGGGCAGCTTGTATTTGCTACCCTCCCCCAGAGGAACAGTGCCAGCACGAGCAGGGCATGTAAAGGGCCGTTTGGCTTACCTTGCCTCAAGGAACCTCTCACATCTGCAACCAGTGTCCTCCTGCTTCACTTCCTGGGGAAGCTCTGGTGGCTCCCTAGATAGCATTTCACCTGGTTTCACATTTTACTCCCATAGTGTGGCACAACCGGTAAACGCCAACACCCGCCTATCCAGTGTCTCATCACATGACTCGGGCTTCATCTCGCAGGATGCCATGTTCTCCAAACCTCCTTCGCCAATGCCCTTGGACATCACCAGCCAGGTGAGCTAAGGGTGAACAAAGAAGGAAGTCCAGGACAGAATTATGCCTCCACTTGCGCTGGCAAGCAGGCAGGCAGGTGCTGTCTCCTGAAAAAAGCTGGTGGCAGCCTAGAGACCCCCTCCTCCTCTCCTGGGAGTCTCTCCTTCCCTGGGATGTCCCTTGGAAATGGAGATGGAGTCTGGCTTGTACAGGGAAGGCTGCCCCTTTGCATGATGTCCCTGGGGAAAGGATTGGGCCAGTTGCCTTTTGAGGAAGGAGGTGGGCCATGAGGGAGCCAGGGGGACTCTGAGCCCTCTTTGGAGCTGCTGCCAGGAGGAGCCCCTTCTTGGACTAGAGGAAGGAGAGGACATCCGTGGCTTTCCTTGCCCAATTCAAAGGCTCATGCTGGCACTCCTCCAGCAGCTCTCTAAAGGTGACCCTGGCATGAGGACATCGTCCGGGGCAGGGAGCAGCTTCTGGCTTCAGAGGGTCTCAGGATCCCTCTGCTTGCTCACAGTTTGGGAGGCAGAGGTGAAGAGGAGGGAAAATCCAGTTCTCAGGCGAGATGGAAGGGGGGAGTTTCCCTGCCCCTCCTGATGGCCTGGGGAAGGTTTGGACTTCCTCCTCCTCCTGTATGAGAGGTTCCCCCAGCTGCCTGCTGCTTTCATTTCCGCCTGCACCTTGTCCCGTCTTCCCCCATCGCCTTCCCAGCCTCAGGACAGTCCAACCCTCCACCCCACACGTCAGTCAAGCTGCACTCTTCTCTCTGCTGCCCCCGCTGCTGCTGCCGCCACCGCCCTCCTGAGCTTCCCTAACAGCTTCTTCTCTCCCTCTCGGCGTGTCTCTTTTGCTGCTGCTGCTGCTGCTGCTGCTGCTGACCCGGATTGGGGCCTGCCAGAAGTCCTCCAGCTCCGCATCGTCTGAAGCCTCTGAAACTTGCCAGTCTGTTAGTGAATGCAACTCCCCAACCTCGGTTAGTTCTGGCTCTGCCACTGGACTGTATTCAGGTGGCCACAAGGTGAAGCTTGAGTCCCCCGCCACACACACCCTTTCCCTCCCCTCTTTTATTTGGGGGCCCATCTGCACCTGGTGAAGAGTTAATGCCTGCTCAAACCTGAACGGCCTGGGCCCCCTGCCCCTGTGCTGGTTTGGGCGCTTTCTGCTTTGTTGGCTGAGCAGTTTAGGGAGCTCCATGAGCAGCCGTGAGCCTGGACTCCCTGGGCCTGAAGCCGTGCAGAACACTGCTAGTGGGGAGTCTTGGGGGGGGGGGGAGCCTAGCTACCCCGGGAGCTCCTTGACTTCCAAGAGACCGAAGTTGTGTCTCCATGAGGGGCTAGGAATCTGGCCCATCTCTGGTAGAGCAACCAGGCAGGAGGGCCAGGAAAGAGCCTCCTGGGAGGGTCCAGTCCCTGGCCCGCAAAGGCTCAACACCCCTGCCACCCCCATCCACCCCCCAGGACAAGGACCCAGTGGGCATTTGCCCTTTGCTGGGAGTTGGATTAGCTTTGAACAGACCTGCCCTGCCCTGGGATGGACCACTTCTCCTCCCTTGGTTGCCTCCCGGGAACTTGGCAAGGGGTAAAAGGTGGCAGGAGGGACTGGTGACCGACACAGGATGCCCTTCTGAGGATCAGATCAACCACAAAGTCTCCCATGTGTCCCTTGGTGCCTCTGGCCTCAGAGACGATGAGGGGCAGCAGCGTCCCGGGTGTGACCTGGTGCAGGCTGTGCTCCATGCTGGGGGCCAGCAGTCTGCAGATCTCCCGGGAGCAGTTGGCTTATTTCTTGTTTGATTACTTTTAAGAACTGCCTGTCTCTGTCACAGAGGGACTCTGGGTACCATAAAATAGGAAAAGCATAAAAATGGCATATAAAATAACAGTAGATAAAAGAGGCAAGGAATGTTAAAAAGATAATGAAAAGGCAGGGAGGGTTTGTCAGGGTATTAACCAGCCCCACAGCTGCACGCTTCCCTGGGCAGGCCTCTCCTTTCCAGAAGGCCAGCAGAGTTGGGATCCTTTGGCAGACGGGAGCCACAGCACCCTGCCTCCCTGGCCAAGTGGAACCAGTTGATGCGATGGGACAAAGGAGGCCCGTTCTGTGGGTTGACCGCTCTTCTCCTCCTGCAGTTGGTCTCCCTTCCAGGGCTACACCCACCCTCGCCTCTTGAGGCCTCCCTCAGTCCTCCTCCCAGCCTTCCCATCTCGGCAGAGGAAGACCCTTGACCGGTCTTCCAGCCCCCTCCCCATCTCGTGCTCCTTTTGGCAAGACCCAGGAAGCGCAGGGCACCTTCCTAAGTATTCAGGGGCTTCAGGAAAGGATTGGGAAACCTGGTGGAGGTGGCCAAAAGGCTGCCATGCCCTCCACAGGCACCTGGTCAGGATCTGGATTCAAGGGAGACGAAATCAAATGTCTTTATTCAGCCACACGTAAGACCCCTGCTTATCCAGAACCGTTTTGGAGCTTTTTGCTTGGTGGAAATAGGCAGAGTGTCTGGGAGGGTCCTGGTACATGCAGGATGGTCCCTGGCACTTGGCTTCTGGGCACCAGCATGGCCTCTTTGGGACCTGATGGCGTCTCACAGGCCAAGGGTCAAGAGTTGCTATGGGCCCCTCCTGCTGCCTCACCCACTTCCTCTTCCCCTCTTGCCTTGCTTGGTTTCGTAGCACTGGGATTGCCAGTCATGCCAGCTTTATATTTTTCAGGATTGGTCCAAGCTCCCCACCTATGAGCAGCCGGGGGCAAATGCTCTGCAGCGTAGAAAGGATCGTGTGGAGCTTCTCCGGGAGATAGAACCAGGCTCGGCCTCCCTGATTTATCCAGGGCTCAGCTTGGAGGATGGTGCCCGGCCTCGCCCCTCTCCCGCTTCCATTGCTGCCAAGGTACAGCCGGGCCCCTTGGGCCACATTGGCTGCTCTGGGGGTTCTTTTGGGGCTCTATTTGGGCCACTGCCTGAATGTCCCCCGAGCCTTCCCTGTCCACATCCAGGCAGATTCGAGGAAGGGAGGTCACATGGAGGACCAGGAGCTGATTTTACTTCTGAGTGTTTGAATAATTGGAATAAAAGAGATTGATTGCTTCCACTAGACAAAATGGAAGGTGGGAGGTGTGGGGGGCACCAGGTGCAGTTCTCAATGGGCCCAATTTCAAAAGTGTTTGCAGAAGGGATTTTCCAAGGATGAGGCCTCTGCCTTCCTTGCCAGCTGGAGCTGAAGCAGGAGAGGCCGAGCAAAGGGCTCCCCTTTTAATCCTGGTCAGATAAAAGACCCCAGAAGGCTCTGCAGCAGTGATGGGATTCAAATTTTTTTACTACCAGTTCTGTGGGCATGGCTTGATGTGCATGGCAGTGGAAGGATACTGCAAAATCCCCATTCCCACCCCACTAACCTGCTTTCCAGCTCCGTTCTCCTGTTCAGGGCAACAAAAGGAGATCAGCTGGAAGGCAGCTGGGGTGGGGCCAGCCTATTTGCCGGTTCTCCAAACTACTCAAAATTTCCGCTATTGGCTGAATAGCATCTCTGCTCTGCAGGCCGAACAGCTTAAGCAGCCAGTGAATGCAGCAGCCTCTGGCCCTGGCAGATATTCCTGAAGCTATGAGTCAGTGCAGAAGTAGCCAAGGACCTGTGTGTGTGTGTGTGTGTATGTGTGTATGTGTGTTTGTGTGTGAATTGGGGTCATCTTTCTGGCTCTCTGTCCCACCTCAGAAGCCTTGCTGGCCCCTCCTCCCTGCTGCCAGGTGCTCAGGATGGAGCCAGTCAGGACTGCTCTAGCAGCAGTGAGGAGCCTCAGGAGGCTGGCACCCAGTGAGAGGAGCCCACCTCCATCCCTGCCCTCAGAGGCCTGTCTGCCTGAGCACAGGAGCCTTCCATGGAGCAGGGGGGCTCGGGACGCTGCTGCTGCTCTCTCTTTATATTTCACATTTCTGAACCCAGAGGGCCATAGCACTGACCCTGAGCTTGTTTCCCCTTCTCACCAGCACGGGGAGGAGGTGTCTCCGGCAGCCAATGACCTGGCCATGGTGCTGACCCACAGCTTGAGCCTGGAACACCAGAAGAGCAGCCGGGATAGCCTGCAGTTCTCCAGCGGCTACAGCACCCAGAACACCACCCCGTCCTGCTCTGAGGACACCATTCCCTCTCAAGGTAGGAGGCCTGCTTCAAGGGGGACAGTGCCTGGCTGGGAGGGTCAGGGGAGGTGTGACCAGGCCTGCTGAGGGGCTCTCCAAGCCACTGGAGAAGATTCAGGCGATGGCAGATCCCTCATAGCCAGGAAACAGGATCCTCCTTTGTAAGGTCTTCTGGAAGGCCAAGAGGCAGAAGCAGCTGCTCCCAGCCAGGCAGGACCTTTCTTGGCCTTCCCAGGAGCCCCACATCACCTGATGTGGCACGCCTGTCCTAAGCAGCCCCAGTTGCTGGCTGAAGGCCTTGCCCAGCTCTCTGTTTCTCCCAGCAGTGGAAAGAAGTGGGCAGTTGGGCTTTGCTGAGGTTGAATGTGCTCTGAGCTTTGATGTAAGAGGGTGCAGGCAGTCTAGACTCCCTTGATGTGCCCCCCACGATGCGCCTTGCCTCATGTAGCAATATGCGCTTGGGGCAGCTTTCTGCTGAAGCAGGATGCTTGGCTGGTGTGGGGCATGGCCTCCCCCTGCTCTGGATCAGTGATCTGCTCCAGGAATTGCCTCCACAGAACGCTCAAAGTACTTCTGTTAACTTTGTGATTGTGCTTACACCCCATCCCCCGTGCCCCTAGGAATTCGGGAGGTCTCTGCCTGGGTTGCTCTCCCACGTCTCGTCCTTGTTTTGCACAGAAGCCATTTTGGCCAAAGTAATGCTCTTCCTCGGGGTCCTTTGCTGGTCCCTGCTGCTGATGTGTCCGCCTGTCCCTTCCTCAGGTTCAGAGTACGACTGCTATTCGGTGAATGGGGACATCGAGGGAGACAACCAGAATGAATTAGACAAATCCTCAACCATCCCTCGCAATAGCAGTATTGCTCAAAATTATCGGCGGATGATCCAGACCAAGCGACCGGCTTCAACGGCTGGCCTGCCCATTGGCACTGCTTTGCCAACCGGGACCACGCCAGGCGTGGCTACTATCCGTCGCACACCTTCCACCAAGCCCACGGTTCGCCGAACCGTCTCCAGCGCCGGTCCAATTCCCATCAGGCCCCCCATCGTCCCTGTCAAGACCCCCACTGTGCCTGACTCGCCCAGTCACGCCAGCCCCCTCCGGATGGGCAGCGATGAATGTGTCTTCTACGCCGATGATGCCTGCTCGCCGCATGGCCTGGACTTCACGAAAGCCTCCCCCAAGAGGCTGAGCCTGCCCAATGCCAGCTGGGGCAGCAACGCCCTGGAGATCTCGGTGTACGCCAGGACCGGGAAGCCTTCCACCGAAGAGGAGCAGCAGCTGGCCGCCAACCGGCACAGCCTGGTGGAAAAGATTGGCGAGCTGGTGGCCAGTGCTCATGCCCTGGGAGACGGCCAGTTCCCTTTCCCCACGGTGTTCTCAGACTCTGGTCCTGAGGAGCAGACCCACAACGTCCCTCCAGCCGCTTCCAGTGAGCCCCCCACTGAAGACATGCTGATAGCCATCCGCCGTGGGGTGCGCCTTCGTCGAACCCTCACCAATGATAGGTCAGCGCCACGTTTCTTGTGATTGCTCTGCTCAGCTGTTGACCCGAACTCCTCCTGAGCACAAGGCACCCGGCTTCAGCAAAGGAGTGGGAAAGGTAGCAGAGGCTGGGCAAACTGCCCAAAGGCTGCCACGCCTCCCACGGTCAGGCTCTGGGTTAAAAGACTACATGAAATGCCTTTCTGAAGCCCCCCACAAAATCCCCGCTTATCTAGAACCCCTTTGGAGCCCATTTCCTCCCTTGTTCTCCTCTCCCTTGCGCACTTTCTCTCTGCCCTCCTCTGCAGTGAGGTGGGAAAGCAGCGCCTGCCTCCCCTCCAGCTTGGAGCAGCAATGGAGGAACCTTCTCTATCTTCTCCTCCAAAGGCCTCGCAAGACGGAGTGTAGAAATGCAGCTCCTTCCCAAGGTGTGGGGGGACTGTGGGCTGTGCGAGGAGCAGGACCCCCTTCCTGGGCTTCCCTAAGAAGGCAACCTTTCTCGGGAGGGGCTCCCTTCTAGTTGAGGGGGTCTCTCCAGTGAGACTGTCTCAGGGAGGGGACTGGCTTTCCCTAGAAGGGCTGCCCCCTTCCTTGCCCAACATGGAGCCCACACCTGGCTTGAGCTTCAGAGCTTAGAGGCCTCCCTGGAGGCAGGACGGAGATGGCAAATGGGCTGCTTTGACACAATTTCGAGCATGGTCTGCATGGAGGCCCAGCTATGGCAGAATGCAAAAGTGCCTATGGAGAAAGAGGGTGGAGGGTGGAAAGGAGTCCAGGGACAGACGGGGTGGGGGGATGTGCTTCGTGGGAGCTGTGCCAGGCACTGCCTTAGGCAGGCTTGGCCTTTGCAGATCTTTCCCTGAAGGAGGGTGAGGGAGCAATGCCAGGATGGGGCATCTTGAACACAGCCCTTGCCCCGAGCCATCTCAAGGCCCTGGGTCCCCTGGGGTAGCTGCCCTTGGGCAGGTTCCTCTCTTCTCAGACCAATCCGGACTCTTGACCGATCGAACCAAAAGGGGGTCAGGAGAGGCTCCTTTGGCTGAGGCTTTGGGGGATTGATTTGAACAGAGCCAAAGTCCTCCGCTCTGCCACCACCACGATTGGTCTGGCAGATCACCGTGACGGACGCCTTTGGTTTGACCTGCTAGTGCTGGCTGGGCTCACAAGCTCCCTGAAGCCAGTCTTGGTTGGCTTGATTTCAGCTCCACCCGATGTGCAAGGCCATCCGTGGCCCTCAGAATCTTCTTGCACAAGGCTGAGCCACGTGGCCAGGCTCCCTTGAAGAGCCCAAGTGATGCTGAAGCTGCACCAGACTTTGGGGGGGGGGGGACAGCTGAAAAACAAAGTCCTGAAAAGGGACTTTTGGAAACGGCTCCGTTCTCTTTCGGGAACCCATGACAACTCCGCAGTGGGATGGTTTTGACGGCCAAGGATGGAAGCGGTGAGGTGAGCCGTGGCCCAGGTTGCTCAGCTTCGTCCCTGTGGCCTGAGCCATTGACCTGCCTTGGAGTGAGAGCCCAGGGCTTTCATTGCCCCTCTACTGCGCCAGGGCTGTCCTGCCTCACTCTCTTCTCCACCTTGTTCATTCTCACCAAACTTCTGCACTTTCATCCACAGAACGTTTTGTCTCGAATCTTGCCTCGTTGTAAAGTCCTGACCAATTGTTTACAGATGTGGAATCTGCCTGTTTTTGTAGTTGGCAGGAAGATTTATAATGGGGATGTTGGCAGAAATGATGCCAAACGTAGCCATAATGCATTTATTCACAGCTGGCACCCGATGGAGCTTTCCATGGTCTGGACCCAGATCTAAAGAGATGTGAAAGCTCTTCTCCTAAATGGTGATTGGTGACCTTCACTTCTCTCTGAAACTAGAAATGAGTCTCTGTTGGCAAAAGGAAAGTGATGGTAGGAGAGAGAAGACGGTTTTGAAAGGTTGCAGAGTGGAAGGCATGAGAAAAGCTGCCTTTCCTTGGGCAGGGCTAGGAAGGGGAACTGGCAATCCTGCTGGTTCTCTTGTTTTTAGTTGCAGAGCTTTTGATGCTGGGCTTGGCATGTCTGGTACAGGTGGCATCCAGAGGTCAACATGTGATGCACATGTGGCACAAGGAAGCAAAATTGAAAACGAATGTTTGCTGCTGTTTGCACCATTAAGGATTCCAGTATGTTCAGTTGAGGGGAAAGTATATTTTAAAAACTTGAGTTATTTCAAGAAGCACACATCAAATGTAAGCATAGAACTGGGAAATGTAGGGTAGGGTTTGGGGCACTGTTTTGCCCAACCTGGTCTTGGGACTTCCAGTTTACACCTCTGGAGAACATTTAAGCCTGAGGCGGCCTGTTCTGAGGGGCAAAGAGCTCGGGCCACGAGAAGGTATGCCGTGGACTCAGAAGGGCTGGAGGCTTCCTTGGCAACGGAGAGGCCGCCTGTCTCCCCAAAGGCCATTGAGGGAGCAGCACGAGGACTCCAGCATCCCAAGAGGAAGAAGGTCTCACCTCCCATGTACATAGCCGTTTGCTCCCCATCTGGTTCTACCTGTCTCTCTGTGTGTTACATCATTGTAGGCCCCTCACTCTTCGGCTCTTGTGATAACACTTTCCTTTGAACACGTCAGCCCTCCTGTGATTCCCACACACCTCAAACGTGACACTGTGAGATTGTTGCTTTTTGCTTTTCCAATTTGTTTTGTACAGTAAGAAACAAGCCTTCTAAAATGTCTGTCAGCTGATGTTAACTGTCCTGGTGCTGTTAACTTTTTCTTCCTTTCCATCCCATAATTTATTTTCCTAATAGTCTGAGCTTCTCCACATGGGCCCTTTCTTCCCATTTAGTTGTGGGTTTTTTCATTCAAAATAGTCACCGCTACAGGTAACAAATGCACTGTGAAGATTTCAGTATTAATAAAAGTTGTACTGTAATTAATGTAAATTGTTCCTCTTTATTCTGCCCTCCCTGGTTAAAACAAATGTAGAGTTTTGTCCAATTGTCCTGAACCTCAGCTCTACATTTTGCAGATATTCTTGGATGGCTTTGAGGACTGCCTTCAACCCCAATCGATTGGGTGATCATGGCTCATCATACTTCACACCCGGCCTTGCGGTGAAGTTGCCAAAAGCATTTGTGTGACAACAGTCTAGTCTGGCTGGAGGGCATATAGTCCAGTTTGTTGACCAAGCCACCTCTGCAGCACAGATCATTTCCTGGCCTGTTATGCTGCTGCACTGGGCTGAAACTACCTTCCTTCCCTCCATCTGGAAAAGTTTCCTGCCTGAGCAGTGGGTTGGATGAGAAGACCTCCAGGGTCCCTTCCAACTGTTGTGTTAAATACATGTGATCCTGAAGAATCAGAAAAAAACCCAAACTTTTCTAGATTTGAGAAACGAAACAATTGCCCCACTTTCCATAGCCCAAGAGACAAGTCTACGGTTTGTAGGTGTATGAAAGTCGTAAACAGTTTAGGCCAAGGAATCCCTTTAGCTCCTCAGGCCCACTTTGGTCCTGAGACTACACAAATTTCATTCTCTCCCAGCAATTTCTGCAACTGAATATGTGGATGGCCTGAAGAACTGCCTTCCTCTCCAACAAACTGCCTGGAGGGAGGGGGGTAGCCAGAGGTGGGTTCAGACGGGTTCGGCCAAGTAGGTATAGTAACTCGGTCTGCCACGCCCCCAAACTCAGCCTACGGCGCCAAAATTTTGTTTTTTGCTTCATCTCCCTCCTGCCTTACAACTTGTACAAACACTCCTGCAATCTGTAAACAGAGTGGCTTGACAGCCAAAGGATTGAGGCTGTGCAGAACTTCCAATATGAAAGCAAAAGGGCCTCCGAGGGCTACTGCAGCAGGAAAAGACATGGCTGCTTTAAAGAGATCCCTGCCTTCACTCATTTTCCAATCTGAAGCACTTACTTCACAATTCTACTTTTTAAAGGAAAATTTCTATCCACATCACAGGAATAATTTGGCTAAGCCCACTGGCAAAAATGTAGCTCTAAAGGAATCCTGTGTCATCTTTGGTCAAATAAGCACGGAGCTGGACATCAAAAGGTTTCTTGGCTACGAAAAAAGGCTGAAATGCAACTCATGCCCACAAAGGATGGATGGATGGATGGACTAGCTCTGCCAGAGAAGGATTTCCTTCAATCTATGTTACACTGTCTAGCAAGTTCAGTATTTTTTTAATTCTTTTAAGATTGTAACCACCATCTCTCCAACGAGCAAAATACTAATTTGATGCAAAACTATTTACAACATAGTTAAAAACAATAGAAACAGTAGGATGACCAAGTAGACAAAACTTCTACAATGCTGGTTAGGAGGAAACCAGTTGTCCCTCCCCGTGGCTTTCTTTCTTACTCAGAATGGATGAGCACAATCAGGTCAGCTCACTGTGAAGCTACTGGCCGGGATTTGGGGTGAGGGTTGTGGCATGGCAGCTCCGCTGAAATGGGCTTATTGGGCATTATCCCTTGGAGTGCTCGAGCTCTGTATGCTGACCTACTGAGCTCCAGGATAGAAACAGGGGCAACCAAATTGGGGACAGGCAAGGAAGTTTCTTGCATTTTCAAAACAAGTCTATACCAAGTCCTCAACGAGCTCAGCTCAGAAAGCATAACGGGTACGGATGTCCTCTAGTTTCTTTGAGACTTCTGGCGGAGTCCGGTCCAGTTCTTCAGACACGTTCTTCTGCTTGTTGGGCTCCATGGAGTTGAACTGCTCGCAGAGGTCTCCATCAATAACATTCTAATAGGAAAAAGGAGGAGGAGGTTTCAGTCCCAGGGAAGAGCACATACAAAAACAGTTGCAGCAAAAAGTCAATTCACAGCATGGGCACAACAGATGCAAAGTTACCCGGCTGCCCAACTATTGGATTACCCAAGAGCCAATTTTTAAAGTGCACTTACAGAAAGAAACTCACTTAAAAAAATAAATCCAATCTATTTCTTTTTTTAAAAAACTGTCACTGGAGAGCAATTGTGCCTCGTGATCAGAGCTGAGCCAGCCCAAAAACACACTGATGTCAGGAGGGACCCCACAAGAGATCTGCAGGAACAGCTGACCAAGGAACTGCTCCCCCTTCTGGGAAGGCAGATAATGCACCCAAGTGTCAGCTCCGGTGAACCTAATGGCCCGGAGTTGTCATTCAGGCAGGGAGAGCGGTGGGAAGCCAACCCACCTCAAATCAACTGTGATTCGGCCAGAGGAGCAACGGGGAGTGGCGGACGCCATTATCCTCCCAACAGCTGAGAATAGGGCGGAGAGGCGGCGGAAGCCGCAGGCGCTTTTCCCTTGCCAAAAAGCAGTTCAGATTTGGCCAGAGGAGCAGCGGGGAGTCACGGATGCCATCCTGCTCCCAACAGTTGAGATTCAGGCAGAGAGGAGGCGGCAGCCGTGAACGCTTTTCCCTTGCCGCTAAACAGCTGGGATTTGGTCAGGAGAGGGGTGAAGGCCACGACCGCCATTGGCCTACCACCAGAGCACCCTCCCCAGCTTGAAAAAGCAGCAGCAGCCTGGGCGTTCCTGGAGGCGTTCAAGGCTGATGAAAATCAATCATCCAGCCTACTAAGTGATTAGAAAGCCTCCAGCTAGGGAACAGACTCAGTATTTACTCCATGTTGTACTGCTTCCAGGGCACGTGGTGGTGGGCGTGGATGCGCGCAAGGGGTGGGACTAGCACAAACAGCACATGGTATAAAAGAGGTGGGGAGCAACGGATGTTAGCTCTGACAATTGATTAATTGCTTTAGTGCTTTGTTCGTGCAGTTTGTGCCGGAGGAGATAAACTACATTTCAAAGCACACCTGTCTTTGGCTGTGCTACGTTCCCTTCGGGACCTGACCGTTTGTCAGAGCTCTACGCCATGGCTGAAGGGAAAGTGTTGGGACTGGAGGATACAACTGTATTGGATGCTGTCCAGCAGCACTGTTGGATGTAAGGTTGGCATGGAAGCCGGCAGGAACCTGACACCAAGAGGGCCCAGCAGTCTTCTTATGCTTCCCTGCGGGGTTCAGGCTGAGAAGCTCCCAGAGAATAGAATAAAAACATGCTGTCTGCTCTCTGGAGCACATGAAGCGCCTAAAACAGGAGGATCTCTTGACCACACAAGCCTCCAGGGGCAGAGAGGAAAGTCATTTATTTGCTTCCTCTAAACATTTTTAAACTGCCAAGATCCAGGGTAGTTAAAACCAATGAATTCCATCTCTTCTCATAAAACTGTCTTAAAATGTAAAATATATTAAAGATTGCCCGCTCTTCACTGCCAGCTTACAAAGGATGGGAGGAGGCCAATATCTGAGAGGCTCTGCCTGCCTGTCCAGAGGAAGGGCAGAGAACAAGAAAGGAAGAGGCTGTTTCTGATGACACTGAATGCTGCTCCGGAAGGGGGCCCTTCAAGCTGCCTTGGAGCAGCAGCTCTGGCCAAAGAGGCAGAGCAAGAACTGTCCAGTGGCAGAGGATGCAGCCGGTCATCTGGGCTTTGCACCCCCGGATGAAGCTGAAGAGACCAGACCTACCTTAACGGGGAAGTAATAGGAGCGGAAGCTGAGGTGGTCTCGACCACAGAGAGGTGGGTGCTCAGAGCGCAGGTGCATCTCCACATGCTGGAAGAAGTCGTGATCCTGAAAGAATTAGAGCCTGGTCAAGGAGAAGAATATCCTAGGACAAACAGCCCAGAGTGCAGCTGTTCAACTCTGCAAGAAGGAAGTAGCCATTCCCACTGACTGCCAGGGTTGATTCACAGATCTGGCTGGCTAGGGGGTGATCACACAGCTTTGAGAAGGATACACATGGAGTAGGAAAGGTAGTGGTACCTTTCCTACTCCATATGTATCCTTCTCAAAGCTGTGTGATCGCTGGACAACCATTACAGATAGGAGTGTGCCAATTTTTGGCCAAGCGTGTGTTGCTGGAACCTCCAAACAAGCTGAAGCTTCAAGTGTAGAATGGAGGGCAGGTCAACAGAACCAACTCTTCCAGCACAGCATTCATCTCTCACCTCGTGGGATGTAAACGGAACCAGGATGCCGATTCCTCCAGACAACGTTGTATAAACAAGCGACTCGGAACCTCCGGGGATGAGGGTGGTCTTCTGCAGAGACAGCACCGTTTCTCCTACGTGGTAGTTCATGATCACCTCTGCCTGGAAGTCAGATTGATGGGGATTCAGACTGTGCCGGGGGCCTCCTCCTCCTCCTCCCATGCCCTCCCTGCCCTTCAGGAAGACAAATCTTTCCAGGTAAGAAACAAGACTTTTTGACTCCACTCGCTTAAGGGTGAAGCTGGATGAGGCTGAAGTGCCCAACACCTCCGTTTCCCAATAAACCAAAAGTAGGAGAAACTTTTTTTGTCATGCCAGTAAAATAACCCAAAAGAAAGATGTCGAGGCCAAAAGATGCAGTGCTTCTTTGCTTCAGCCTCCTCCCCGATGGGAACTCTGGTTAAAGGAACCTGAACCGAAGAACTTAAGGATGGAGAGGCAACTGAAGGGAAGTGCCATCTTCTGGCATAAGTTAAGTCTCCAGAGCAGCTCCATTGGCCTCTGAGAATCTATGCTACAGCCCCTTTGAGAAATCACAGAGGGAAAAAACAAAGCCACAGAATTCAATATTCAGAAAGAAATGGGGGTGGGTGGGGGGGTAGCAACACCTAGTCACTACAGACCCTTCAACTTGATGCCGATAGCCAGCAAAATTTTGGAGCAGATTATTAAGCAGTAACTTTGTGATTGTTTAGAAAGAAGAAAGGCTCTGGCAGGAGCCTTGCTTGCATATCAAGCAATCTGTTTTTTATACGACTGATCAGTTTAGTTGACACAGAAATACATAGCAGAAAAATGATGCAATGGCGAGATGGATATAGAATTGGCTGAACGCATTTACCCAGCAAGTAAGTTGAAGAAAGATTTGAGTGGGGCATCAATGCTGTGCCAGTGAACACATTTATGAATGACATGGACAAGGAATTACAAAACCAAGTTATCAAATCTGCAGACGGAATAAAGATGGGAAGGACAGAAACTTTTTAGAAGTATCCTGATGTCGGATAGCAGATTGATCAAAGCAGTAAGTGAATTCCAGAAATAAAGTATTAGGTTGCACAGCAATGATGAGCATGAATCGAGCATGGAAAAGCAAGGACCTCAGTCTAGCGACTAAGATTTGTCGGCATTCTATTGCATTTCCTGTGGCTACTTGTGGCTCCAAAAGGTGGACCATGGAAAAATTAGAAGAAAGCTCAGCTCGTTCAAGCTGTTGTGTGGAGAAGGGACACAGCAAAAATGTGAAGAAGCAGGAACTGAAGGGTATAAAATCACTGGAAGGCAAAATCACACACACACACACAAAAGAATGTTTTGCCAAAAAAACTTTGCACAGAGTCAGGAAAGAAGTCTTCAAATATCATGCAGAAGACCAGACAAAATTGTGCAGAGCTGCTCCTGAAATTAGAGACAGTCATTCTTTGAGGGAGATGGGCAATTCAGAAAAGAGAAAAATAAAGTTTAAATGATGAGAAAGTAGATTTTGATGGATCAGAAAAAGTATTCTAACAGTCAGATCTGTTGAATTATGGAGGCAAAAGTCGCTCGAGGGACCACGGATTTCCTTTCTTAGGTCTTAAACAGAGGCTGGGTGTCCTGTCTTGAGCTCCAGGACCCCCTCAAGCACCTCATTCCATGATTCTAGCAAAGTCTTCGCTGTTAGGCTCCCACCCTGGAGGTGGCTCATGGACTCAGAAAGAACTGTACCACTCTGGAACTTGGTTCCTAATTTTAGGAACTAAAACTGGTCCTGGTCCCTGTTGATTCTAATGTTTTTACACTTGTTCTTTTATTAGGTGGTGAGCCGCCAGGTCATTTGGACAGTGAAATGGATGTCATATAAATTGAATAAATAAATAAAATTAGTAAATAGATGAAAATACGCCTAACTAAGATGAAGTTGATTTTGCTAGTGCATAAAAACCATGAAGTCAACTAGAATGGATTTCTCAATCATTAGTTTGGTCAGGTTTTTAATGTAGTAATTTCTTTTTTTGTCATCTTAATTGGAAGCAGATTACAAATAATCGGGGGGGGGGGTTGTTCTAATAGAGCCAACCACTAGAAAGGACCTACTTTTTGGGATGCGCCATTGAGGAGGCCCCTGTCCCACAGAGCCTTGTTGCCAGTCGGGTCCTCATCGACCTCATCGTTCGTATTGGGTGGCAGCCTCACCTGCACAGGAAGGAAAGGAGTCACCGCACGGCTTGCAAATGATTCTCAACAGAGCAGACACCCATCCCCACCCCAGTGGAAGCTGGGAGCCTAAAATCAGGAGAGCAAATAGCAGCAGGGAGACCTAAGCCAAGCTGTTATCGCCAATATTTTAATCTGTGGGTCACAACTGGGTAAAGTTGACTCCCTGGGACTTTAGGGAAAGTCCTCTTGGTAATCAACATTGGCTTTTCTTCAACCCTGTTACGCAGGGTTAAGTGAGCAGGATGAACTCAAGCGCTCGGGATTCCTTCCGAGAGCGAGGAGTAAACCTGACCTTGAGGTAGCAGAAGATTCTCTACTACTTCACAGTCCCCTCTCAACTGCCTGCTTCATTTTCAGTATCAAGCATTCCCTTCCCTTCTTGCTGAGAAGGGAGGCCTTGTCTACCATACTTTCTGTTGCAATAACAAGAGATTCCCCCAGCCAGAAATCCATAGAAAAATATTACTAATTTGAACTGCTATACGAGTTCAAAGCTGCCCCCTCCAAAAGGTGGGGCTGCCTGCTCCACCTTGCAGGCCACGTGCTCCGGTGCCACCTGGATTTTACTGCTAAGGTCCAAACTATCAGTGGACTCGTTTCCAAGTCAGCACAGCTCACCACACAGATGTTGCCAAACTTGTCAGCTCCAGCCACTGTGTCATAGTCCAGGAGGCAGGCAGTGGTGACCCAGCGAGGGTGGGTGTCGTCTGCAAAGATGATCAGCTGGTTTTCATTTCTCTTGTATCGAACCCAGATGAAGCTTTCCTGGACATCAGACACAATCACTCTGTGTCCCACTGTCTGGATCCCACAAATGGAGTTGGCAATGTGCTGTATGGAAAAGCAGTTCAGAAAAGGATTTGTGAATCCAGAGACGGAATCTGGGCACAAGAAGGCCACAACTGAAACTCACGGGTCACTCCGGCCTGAGTTCACAGCTAGTAGTCACAACGGAAGGGCAATGATGGGGAAGCCGGCTGGATTTCCATGAGATCCAGACAAGCATCCTGAACCCCCACAATTCCGGCAGGAATCCAAGGGCTGCAAAACAGGACTTTGGTGCTTTGGACAACTAGGGAGAAACAGAAGCCTTGCCGGTGTCACTGTTTCCGGAAGGAGAAGAGGCAACCAAGAAAGAGCCAGCCTTGCACGCCTCACCCCCCACCCACCCTCCGGGGGCAGGAAGGATGCAAACAAGGCTACAGGATAAGGAACCGTCCCTCTCAGCTCCTCCAGGGGGAACAAGGCCTGCCTACTCTGCAGCTCTAGCCAAAGGCTGGAAAGTCTACGCACACACAAAGCAGCCTTGCTCTCCCTGCGTCCAGAGGGTGGCCAAATGGGTGGGGGATGTTTCCAGAAATTGCCCACAAAGACTGGCAGGAAACCAATCCAATTTGATACAGATATCAAATCTTCTGCTCCTCCTACCCACCCCCCAGCTCCAGGCCACTATAAGTGGCACATTTACATGGTATCCGAGACACGGATTCCTTTCCAGCATTCTAAACGTGTGAATTACGCGTTGCAAGTTCTGAACTCTTAAGAAAGAGAAGTGAGCAGACTTTCCACTGTTGACAGCCAAGAGGGGCCTTCATGGGGACAGAAGAAGAAGAAGATAAAACCACCCTCCGCAACTCCCCAGGACTCACATTGAGGGAACCCAAACCTCCCGCAGGAGGCCAGCCTGGAACCACAGGCCCCTTGCTACCAGTGGACTCTGGGGCTGGAAAAGTGCCAGCTCTTCTGGCAGGGCAACTGCCGTACCTTATTCTCACACTTCCGCAGCAGCTTCTTCTTGCCCAAATCGTAGACTCGCAGCAGCTTCCCCACACCGATCAGCACTCTCCCTTGGAAGGGGGCAATAGCCGCAGGCACCTCCTCCACCGGCGTCTGGATGCAAAGGAAGAGCAGGCCCTGAGACGCTGAAGCCCAAGCTAGGCCTTTAAGCGAGTCTTAAAGGTTGCCAAGGTTGGGGCCCCCTGCTCCAGTTTGAGCTCTGCCCCACCTTTTGCTCTCTGTGAGAAGGAACACCTCCCCCCCCCCCAGATGTTGCAAGAAGCTCACCTTGTGCAGGAACTCCAGCTTCTCACCATTATTCACCAGCTTGTAAGTGTAGACAAACCCTCCGGCAACCGAACGCGGGTTGAGAATGAGGTCTTTGGCCACGCCCACCAAGACATGCCAGTCATCGCCCGTGTTGGCAAAGCGGCACACAGCCACACTGCGGGCAAACACAGGAATACCTGGGTCAGAGTCCTGGCTTTGGGAAGTGAGGAGGTGGCCCAGGAAGGGGGGGGGGCATCTCAATTCCCACTTCCATGAAAGTCAAAGGAAAACACCTGGTGTCTTCCGGCTTCATCAGAGCTCAGGCTATCAAGGGGCAAGCACAGGCTTTGTGACGGGGGTGGGATGGGCTTCAGCCACCTGGCACAAGGTGATCAAGGAGAGCTGTGGTTACCTGAAGGCAGCCTCATTCTGCTCCAGCTGCACAAGGTCCAAAGTGTTTCCCTGGATGGGGTTCATCACCCGGACTACCGAGGCCCACTGCCCGTTTCCTGCTTTGGGAGCCCCAAAAATGGACTCCGGAAGGTTCTCATTCAGGAAAGCAGCCGCCATCTCTGCGGCAAGTTCCCTCTCGTCTTCCCCTGCAGCTTCCACCATTTCCTGTGGTGCAGAGAGGAGAGTGGAGGGAATGCCCAGCCAGGGCTTCCATATCCCACCCCAAAGCCCTCGGGTGCCTCGGCCTGGCTCTGGTCCAGGAAAAAGGCTGCCAGAGTCTCAGGCCGCATAGCAGGCCATGCAGAACAGAGGAGCAGCAGGCTATCTTGACTGAGCTGGCGGTCACTCATTTCTGACCGGCTGCACCTTTTCTGGCACAGGAGTCAGAAACCCTCCCAAAGGGAAAAGCCCAGGAGGAGCCCCAACGTGGTTGATTGGCGGATCTCAACAGCCTTCTTAGAAGGTGCTCAGCAGTCCCAAAATCAATCAGGATTCCTGACCTCCGGAGAGAGGGAGGATGATTAGCTCCCTTGCTGGCCAGCCAGGAGTCTCCCTCCCGTGTCCACTCCCTTCAGCAGTCAGCACACTCAAGACTCCCAGGAAAGGAGTGGGAGGCAGCCACAAAGGGACTGAAAGCGCCTCTGGGAGAGGGAGAGAGGCGGCAGCCGCCAGATGGATCCCTTCTCGGTTCTCCCATCAAACAGAGGAACCCAAGGCTGCTTCAGCCCATTTCTGGAGAAGGAACCAGCCCCTCCCCCGAGCAACTTCCTGGACAATTGTCCCTCCCCGATGCTGAGCACCGTGACCAGACCCCTCCTCTTCTTCTATAGGGCAGAGAGCCCAGCAAAAGCCAGACAGAAAAGGGAGGGGCAGAGAGGTCAAATACCTCGGCCATCTGTTGCTTCCGCTGGGCTTTGGTTGCCTCGGTGTAAGCATTATGGTCGGTCTCGATGATGATCAGATTGCTGCTCTCGGGGTGGATCACAAACTTGCGGGGCGTGTATTGTAATGGGAAGGCAACTTGGTTGAAGACTGCGCCAAGCTTCTCCAGCGCCAAAATCCTGTGGGAGCCAAAATGTCACTGCTGCCTGTGTGAGCTGCCCAGGGGAAGAGGCCCCAAATCCTGCTGCCTCACCAGGGCTGCAAAAGGCGGCTGGGGAAGACGTTTGCCTTGGCTCACTTCTTGGGTGCATAGACAACCCCCCCCTTTTATGATTTTCAAAATCAGGAGGGGAAGAACCGCTTCTCATCCTGAAAAGTAGATCCAGCTGGTGATGCTGCTGGTCCTGAGCTGCTTTGCACTCATGTGCAGCTCTTCTCCCGTTGTTAAACGCAGGAGAGGCTGAGAGGTGAGACAAGCTGCCTCAGGTGAAAGACTCCCTAATCTGAAGAATCGTTTCCAGCCCCTGCCTCCCCAGCCCCAACACACTCTTTCCCCGGGAAAGGATCTGAACAGCCGGGGGGCACCTGGCCAGCCTAAAGATCCCTATTTCCCCTGCTCTGCCCCGTCTGCACAAACCTCAGGGTGTTGGTAGAAATGGCGACAATCCCCTCCGGGCACTGCTCTGAGGCGAAGCCAGAGGCAAACTCCAGGGTCTCGTAGGAGAGGGGGGTGAGGTGGAAGCGGGACTGGTAGGAGTAGCTCAGCCAAGAGCGGCTGGACATCGCCAGCACCTGGAGCGGGTGAGAGCAGAAAGCAAGCGTGGCCGACTTCTCCCTGGGCCTCCTTCCGCGTGAGATCCAAGATCCTGCTGACTGACTTGCGGCCACCCGGGCCAAGCATCAAAAACGCTTCTATAAATGAGCCTCTTGCATCAAGAACTGATGGCAGGTCAGGATTGGCCAGCAGCTTCGCTCACAAACAACTCGGCAGTTTCGACAGTCTCCAAGTGGAGCCAGGTTGGGGAAGACTCCCAGAGGTCTTCCAGTCTCCTGGACGGCTACGTAGCACATTAAAGGCCAGCAGCACAGGAGGGGAAAAGTTTGGCACTGACCTATGCCCTGACTGACCAGCTCTGCCCTACCTGAAGGATGCTGGCCAACTCTAAGTGACCAGGCTGAGCCCGAGGGAGGGGTCAGGTGCGTCATCGCTCCCACTGCATTTCCTCTCCCACCCATTTGCCTTGACTGCCAGTAGTTCAGATTCTTCTTTAGGGGCAGCATAGAATAAACTTGTACTCATTTTGGAGCTAAGCCTGGCTCAGGATTTCTGGGGCCTGACAAAAACTGCCAATGAATCTTCACATTTTCTGACCTGCATTTGCAGGTTTCTGAAGTTACTACCAAGTGACAAGTAGTCCTCAATTAGCGACCACTCATTTACCAAGCTCAAAGTTATAATGGAGCTGAAAGAGGAGTTTGGCTGGTCTTTCAAGGACGGCCATTTGTGACCTTCCTGCCGGCTTCTGGCAAGCAAAGTCAATGGGAAGCTGGCCAGAAGTCATGGTCTTGTGACGTGATGTCACTTAGCAATCACACACAATTCACTTAATAACCACAAAGGTGTGGTCACAATTTTTTGCTTTATGTGTTTCCAGTCCCAATTTCAGTCACAGCCTGGGATTTCCTGTCCAAAATGTCTGAAAATCCCCAGCACTTGATCATAATTGCGGCATCTTCAAGTACAATCAACATGAACATCAAATCTCATCTCTACCGCACAGAGAGACTCAGACAAGCTTATTTCTCTACATAAACTCATCTTCCCCTCTCCTCCTCTCCAACAATATTCCTGCCAGCTGTATACACAATTACAAACACAGCTGCTATTTTTATTCTGTATTTGAGAAAAAAATAAAGCTTCACAAACGATGTCTCGCTATTCCTCTTTAAAAATCCCCACTAATATTCCCGTGTTCCTTTTCTCTTCCCCATCCCCACCCCGGGAGGGGGGGGGAGAGAGGCTTTGAGGCCGACCCCATGCACTCCATGGCATCACACTCACCGCTTCCTGGCCTTGCATCCGGACTCTGAACAGCTTCACAGGGCGGGACCCAAGGTACCTGGTTCTTGTATCAGACAGATCACCGGTGACAGGATCAAGGACAGTCCGGAGGAGCACACCATTCTAGAGAAGTCAAAGGAGAGAAGAGCCCATTAACTCCAGGTGCACCAATGGACTGATCCTTTCAAGCTCCTCTCTGCCTGGAGCACAGGGCCGCTCCTAAAGTATACAAGCCCTTCTAACGTCTCCAAGTTAAGAAATGAGGCATTCTGAAATGCAGCCAACAACAGCAGAACCTTTTCATTGAAGCAGCGGAACTCCTTCCCACCACAGAAAGTCCTGTCTCATAGAAGGGGTGGGGCGGGGGGGCAGAGAGCAGCTGCCTTCATGGCCAGCCATTTCATTTGGGGAGTTCAAGGGGGCCTCTTCCTCTTTCACAATAGCAACAGCACTTAAGACGTACTGCTTCACAGTACTGCTTCTGCAGCCCTCTCTAAGCGCTTTACAGAGTCAGCCTCTTGCCCCCAACTATCTCACCTGGGGAAGGCCTCTATGGCAGGGGTCAAGCTGGTGGCACGCGGGCCGGCTGCGTCACATGCAGGCCATGCCTATCCCATCTCCGTGAATGGGAAGCACGTCGCAAAATGTCACGTGACGGCAATGTGATGATGCCGAGTTTGAGCCCTGTGCTTTATGGCATTCAAGATACGAAGATGACTTTTCTTGGCATTTTTCTATTTTGTTTGATTGTAAAAGCATAAAATAGAATCTGACAATATGAAGGGATGGGGAGGAGAAATAGAGAGTACTGACAAGAGTTTTCTCTCCTGGACTGGCTGCCAGCGGATGTGGCTATTCTTTAGAGCGAGCAGCGGAAAGGCTGTCCTGCCTGAGGGCCACGACTGGAGCACAGAAGCCCAACCCAAGGGCACAACAGGGAAGAGCTGCTTTCAGGCTGGAAAGAGTCCCTGGGGCTTCCTCACCTGTAAGCCAATGTTCAGGTACAAAAACCCAATGGAGCTCCGTTCTCCCAGCTCATCTTGCTTCTCCGCGCAACCCATTTCCACGATGCACAAGGATTCCGGCTGTGCAGGGAGAGCCTGCATGCTCAGAGGCTGCAGACAGTCCTGGGGAGAACGAAGGAGCCACCGTTACTCAGGAGAAACCTACTGCTCATTCCAGGTGACCCCTGCTGCATTAACAGGCGTCCAGAGCCATCTCGAGCGCAAGAGGAGAGGTAGCTATTTTCCACTCAAGCAATGCTTTTCATTTTTTCATGGATTTCTACTAATGGTTCTTTTTTTTTACACTAATGTTTCAGGATCCTTAGTTGTAGCTAGAAACGTGTTTTTCTTCCAGAATGCCCAGAAGCAGAAGCTGGAAACAAAGAGGGCATGCCAGGCGTTTAGTAAAATAGGGCTAAACTGAAAGAAATTTAGGAGCTCAACAGTTCTTGCAGCATTTCCAAGATGCTCCTTGTTTTTAAGCACTCGCCTTCAGCATATTCTCATCCACAGAAAATGAAACTTGCAAAAGCAGAGCAAAATGTAGCACTGGTCTTAGAACAATAAACCCGCAGTGTAGGTGAATACTTTACGCCAGCCACTTACTGAGGGATCAAGGGAAATGATTCGTACAGTGTTGTCTACCAGCCCAACCGCAAGGAAACGGGAGCGCTGCTCTCCAGGTGGAACGTTTGCCAAACTCATGCACACAACATCGGCCGACATCTCCTTCCTTTCCGTGTATTCATTCAGCTGCCCAGACTAGGAAGACAAGAGACAAGAGGAAGAGGCAGGTCGGCCAATGAAATGGAAAGGGTAACCTGACAAGGACTCTCACTGACATTTCGGCTGCTTGGCATTACATCCATTTTTGACAAAATTGGTCCATAGTAAACAATGAGTTCGCTTAATAACCATCACAAAAAATGGTTGTAAAATCAGATCAGTCATGCGAGTGACCTGCTTTATGACTGCAGCAACGGACTACCATAGTAGCAGCCTCCATTACAGTTGTAAGCCAAGAATGACCCATATTTTCAAACCGGGCAATTGCAAGAAAGGCCACCACTGAGCTGGCAAGAGCTTCTGTGAAGGCTGCCAGCCGATGGCCATCTTGGGAGGGACTAACAACCCAAAAGTCTGGGAGGCTCAGGCCCTGCTCAGAGCCCCAAACCAACACCCAGTCCCACCAACTGGGTCTGCTGGCTGGGTCTGATCCAACCCAGGCCAAATCTATTTCCTATGCTCACGTACTGGATCCATCTCGAAGTAAACCAGCTCTCCTCCAGTCAGCGCGATCACCACTTGTCTCTGATTCACAGCACATTTGACAATGGTTTTTTTCCCAGGTGTTTTCCATTCGTTAACTCGTTTATCTGCTCTTATGTGCCTGATGCCATCAGGATAAACCTGCAGGGATGCAACAAAGAGGTGCTGAAAAGGCTGCATCAGTCATCGCTTGCCCAACTATCAAGGCAAAGCCCCTTATGGTGAGCAAGGAACGTGACAATTCTCTTAGTTACTTCAATCGGCCATTCACAGTAATCTAGGAAGGAGGACCAGCTCAGTAACCAGCAATTTGAGAAGTTGTTTTAAAAAATAAGCCCATGAACACAAACCTGAATATTTACTCTCTTTTTTTAAAAAAAACCAAGGATATAACAAAAAGACATTTTCAGAAGCATCTGTGAGCAAGGAAAACTTCCCAATAAGGGGTAATATTTTTCAGGACAGTGTCAATTTGGTCACTCCAGGGACAGTTGGGTCCTGTTTTAGAAGTGGATTTTTTGGAAGAGGGATGGTAGTTTTGCACATCCTAAGAAATCTGTATTATTCAAATAAAACAGCTGACTCTGTGCTCTTGCAGCCACCTGAAATTCATTTACACTGATCATACCAGCACTGTGCTACTTTCTTCCCTAGTTGCAAGGCAGCAGCTGTTAATCCAACCCTAAAACTCACCCACTTCAAAGTAATATTCCCATCAAGACAGCCAGGATGTCACATGGCTGTTTTTACCTTAGTAAGGAACAGCCTATCCATCAGTCCTGCTGAGTAACCCAGGCAGAGATATTACAAAATGAGGTAAATTAACACAATCTGGCAAGACTAAAAGCACCAATTTCCCATCCTCAAGTGGAATTGTTTGCTCCGTTCAGGGGGATCCTCCCTCTGGCTGTTAGGCCACTGGGGCTCCTGCCCCTCGTCTGAGTGTTTCCTAGGCAGCATCTCTTCTGCCTTTCCTCAAGGCCACCCGTGGATTCCATCACACCAGCAATGATGGATAGAAGAAAAGAAAGCGTCCCAAAAAAACACATGACTACCTCAAAATCAAGCCCTCCCTCATGGTGAGTCCTTTCATAAAGGATAAAATAAAAGAGCAAGGCAGCTGTTACCTGCACCAAGGCATCATCTCCCAGCAATGAGCAGGACAAGGTGGGTGTGGTACCAAGGAACCCTGAGTCAGTCACTTCCTCCACTGTTTCTCCGATAGACAGGACTAGGGTGGCATTGACGAAAGACACAATGATGTAAGCATCAAATTCATCTGGTGAGAGAAGAGGAAGGAAAGATTAGAGCCGGGTCTGTGATGCAAAGATGGCCCTTAGAAGCTCCTACAGCATCTCTGATGGCACCAAGGGGATGCCATTGGCCCCGGGGAAGCCAAGGCTAATCTTTGGGAAACCAAATTTGATATCAGGTAAAAAATATCAGAAGCCTCAGGCATTTCTGATGTGAACCTAAAGAATGAGAGCAGTTTCCTCTGAAGCCAGGAGATGCAAAAGTCCAGAGCTGAATTCTGAGAGGAGTCACATGATGTGGTGTGATCCATCTGCAAAACCATTCGTCTTATGAAGAATCAGAGTTGGAAAGAGACACCGAACATTGGCCTCCGGCCTGCAGAGGGCACTCTAGCTTCTGCTTGAGTACCGTCACCAATGAAGGGCAGCCCTCCATCTCTTGGGTCCTTGGTTCTACTCTCTATCTTCCCTGTTAAGAAGCTGCTTCTCAATAATCCACAGACAGAGCAGGATGCTTCTCTGCAATTGATTCTCCATTGGCAACTCCTTTGATGCCTTCATAAGCATTCAGAGGCAGACCTAAGTGCTTGGGTGGCATGGGCAAGACTGAGAGAAGGCACAAAAGACTGAAAAAACCAACCGCTCCTGGGCCTCCTGTGCGTGAATAATGCAAGCTATCTTAAAGTCAGGTAGGCCTATCAATGTAATGCCCAGGCTAATCCCATGAAGCTAATCCAAGCATCGGATCGGGTGCTCTAGTCCCAAAGAAAGGTCAACATTAGAGACCAGACTGTTGCACAGCTCAAGTCAGAAAGGGAATCCTGCCTTGCAAAGCTGCAGTCCAGGTTGCCATCCCTGGGGCTGAAAACGTCTGCCCAGAGGCCAGGGGCACGGCTGCTGCCACAAGGAACCAAGGGCGGCACCTTCTTTCAACAACCCCGGCAGCAGAGAAGCAGCGGCTGCTTTTCCCAAAGGCTTCGTAGGCTCACGGTGGAAACTGTGAAAGTCCTTCCAAGGTCTGAAGAGGGAAAGTCAACCTGCTGGTCAGCAGGGCCTCAAAAGTATCCTCATTCACAAACCATTTTCCACCTTGAGGCAAGAATGGAAAAGCTGTCCAAGTCATGGATGACAGAGCAAGTCATGACCCCCCCACCCCCAAAAAAGTATTCTTGACAAGAACACATTTGTCAATCCAACCAGGGTCTCATTCATATCTTTTAGTTCTATATCAAGCTTCGACCTCTGGGTCAGCAATCAGATCACACAAGCCCTAGGAGGAGCCTCTGACCCTGTAGTCAAATCACAGAAGCCAGACGTGGGATCTGGTAGGGGCCAAGAGAAGGCAGGCATCTCCTCACGGCAGCAAGGGGCTAAGGGACCCTGGAAGGCTCCAGCCATTGGTGGATGGAAACACAGGAATCTTTCAGAGAGGCAATGTTCTGCAGTCATGTAACACTGATTTTTTACTGGTATCTGGGGGGAAACTCCCATTGCAAGAATAGATTGGCTTAACAACCATTTGACCTGCTTAATGACTGGGGTCACTTGCTTTACAACTGTTGTAAAAATTGTTGTAAAATCAGGAAATTCCAGGCACAACTGTGGTTGTTAAGTGAAGGCTACCTGTATACAATTTTAATGCCACTCAGGTGATCAAGTGGCAACCAAAGAACGGTCTGACAGCATAAAGCTTTTTCACTCCCCCCCCCCCCAACTGCTCAGAAAAGCTTCAGAAAAATGGAGTGGGACCTTGTAGCTCATCTGCGTCTCAACATCTTGTTTATAGTGTGGTGACCAAAGCTGGGTGCAGTATTCTAGGTGTGGTTTTACTAAGGCTTTATATGAGGTATTAGTACTTCACTTGATCTTGAGTGTATCCCTCTGTTAATGCAATTTAGAGTCATGTTGGCTTTTTTGGCTGCCGTCGCACACTGCTGGCTCATATTTAACTGGTTGTCCACTAAGACTCCAGGATCCCTCTCCCCGTCACTGCTATTAATCCTGGTTTCTCTCACTCTGTGTGTGTCCTTTTGGCTTCTCTTACCTAAGTGTAAGACTTTACTTTTCTCTACATTGAATTTCTTTAGATAGGGCCGTTTTCAAGTCTGTCAAGATCCATCTGGATCCTCAGCCTATCATCTAGGACAGGGGTGCCAAACTCATGGCCCTTGGGACAGTCGTGTCACGTGTTGGCCCTGTCCCCGCCCAGTTTAGCAAAGGGGGGGGGGAGTCCTGATATGTTACGTGATGAGGTGAGTTTGACACCCATGATCTAGGGTGGATAAGTTCCCCTCCTATCCCCTCATCTAAGTCGTTTATGAAGATATTGAAGAGTACCAGGCCTAAGACTGAACCTTGCAGTACTCCAGTGCTTACTTCCCTCCTTGTGGCTACGGTAAGTTGACTTCAGTTTATCAGCCAGTTAAAAATCCGCCTGGTGGTGATGTTATCTATCCCACTTTTTTCTAGCTTACCAAGAAGTAGGTTGTGGTCTACCTTGTCAAATGCCTTGTAGAAGTCTAAGTATACTATGTCCTCAGCATTTCACTGGTCTACTAATTTAGTCACTATGTTGAAGAATGAAATAAGATTTGTTTGGCTTGTTCTTAAAATGATCTTCAGAAAAGCTCTTAAGACTGTCAGAATTCTCAGCAAAATGTAGAAAATCCTATTAGACAAAATGTAAGTGTTAGTATCAACTGCTGAAATTGTTTTGAACACTTCCATTCAGAAGTTAAACAGCCAGCTGTGGTCCCTTCTCATTCTAACAAACTAAAAATAAGCCATGGAACTTTTGAAAGGAGGAGTCCCACTCTCATGAATTGGCCCAAAAGACTCCTTAGTACAACTGGAAAGTACATTTCAAATGTAGAAGGCCAGAGTATTCCAAGACCTCCTGCAGAGATCATCAGGGGAGCCACAGAAGTCCCACCAGCGCTAACCAGCAAGATCACTGCAGTCCAGCAACCCTGAACAGCCATGCTTTGCCCAGCACCGCCCCCCCCCCCCAATTACAGCATCCAGCTCCTCTGCAGTTATTTCACTGAAAGACCTTCCTGGGGCAGACTGAACAAGAAGGGTCAGCTGGGCTTTCTGGTGCAGTGGCAGGGACCAGCTCCAGCCTCCTCTGAGGATTTGAGGATGTCTTTAGCTAGCCTGAAGTCATCTTCCCTGCACCCCCCCCCCCCCGAGAAGCAGCTTTAAACTTTCTCAATCTCATTGAATAACAAAGTTAGAAGGGACCTTGGAGGTCACTGCTTTTATGTTAGGATGATCTATATCAGCGATGGTGAACCTTTTTGCCCTGGCATGCCAAAATTGTGCATGTGCCGCAATGCAATGCGACCACCCCCCCACCCCCAGGTTGCCCATTGGACCCGTTTTTCACCCTCCCCAGGCTTCAGAGGCTTTCCTGAAGCCTGGGGAGGGTGAGAATGGTCTCCCCCAGCCCTCCAGAAGGCTGAATATCAGCTGGCCGGCGCACACATGCGGGCTGGAGCTGATGGCTCGGGTGCCAGCAGATATGGGTCCATGTGCCACGGATCTATATAGTGACTAATATGATAATGTTGTACCTATTCATCCTGGTCCATTGTGTAGTTCTTCCAATGCTAAAACTCAACAGGAAAAAAGCAGCTCCATTTAATTTTTGGTTGTCAGCAAGAACCAAAATCAGTTTCCATGGACTCTGCTCAGTCAAGAATTAGAGTTCAGTGTACTTCTTCTCATTTGCCAGTCATTTTGCCAAAACTTGAAGAACTAACTGTTTCAAGAATCAGAATTGTAACATGTTGCAGGCAGGTCCCTATACGCTAGATTTTGCCCATTGAGTTGTTAGGGAAAGTGAGAACTGAGAGTTCACACAAGAGTCCAGTCCTAGTTCAAGTTCTAGGTATCACCTGAAGCTAAGAGAGTGCTCACAACAGAATTCTGTCTTTCTGAGGTCAACAGGACTCACATCTACTTGACTGCAGATGGTCCATGCCTATTGGATTGTCTAGGTCTACTGGAGGATCTTTCAACATATTCACTGGAAGATTTAAACAATTTTTTAATCTTAGTTTAGTTTAGTTTTATTTGTCTTGTATGCCGCCCACTCCCAAAGGACTCCGGGCGGCTTACAATAAACAAGGGAGGGGATAAATAAACAAAACAATACTTTAAAATCCACAACAGTCAGTTTCCGTGGGGCTGGATATTTCAAAAGCCCCCCGGCCTGCTGGAGCAACCAAGACTTAACGGCTTTGCGGAAGGCTGGGAGGGTAGTAAGGGTCCGGATCTCCACGGGGAGGTCGTTCCAGAGGGCTGGAGCTGCGACAGAGAAGGCTCTCCCCCTGGGAGTCGCCAG